TGTGTCGTGACTTACTAGGAGTCCATCTACATGAGGCTGGAAGAAAGTTCACTTTCCTCTCAAGAACTGTTCACAGAGAAACTTGAACTGAGTGACAGAGATCTCCAGAGATGAGAGAAGCAGAGGGAACGCAGAATGTTTAAGACACGTCAGCGTCTTTTCAGAACCTACAGTCACTGTGACCAGTCTCTGTGTCAGCGAATGTAAAATAAAATATCGCTATTCATCGACACAAGTATGAACAGGAGCTTGATTCGATTAAATTAGCTTAGAAAAATTATTTAATTAAAATTAAATTAAAAGAAAATAATAATTGAATAAAATGCAGTTAAAAAGACAATAATTTCAATTAAACTAAATTCAATTACACTTAAAATTTTGATAGTTTGATAGTTTAAAAAAAGTTTAAGTTGCGTAAAAAATTACATTAAAATCTAATTTAAATTGTATTAAATTATAATAACATTTTAAATAAATTAAACACTAGCTTAAGTAAAACACAATTATACCTATTTCAAATTAAACAAAATTGCATATAATTAGAATTTTATTCAATTAAAAATGAAATGGCCATGAAATCAGTTTTATTTATTTATTTAATTTGTTGATAATTTAATGTACACTTAATGATCTGTCAAACAAATGGGGTCTTGGGAGAGTTTACAAACTGCCATAGTGTTATTGGTTTGTTTGAATGTGTTGTTCAATTGTCCATTTGGTAAATTAACTATATTACTTACCATCAAAATATGCTTTCAAAAGTTCATTATCATTGTATTTCTGTATTTCTTCGCTGTTCTGATTGTGAACTTCTGCAGAATTGCCAGAAGCTTCTGTTGAAAGTGAAAATTTCTGCTTGGTCCGTTCGGACATTTCTAATAAAAATTCCCGTTCCTTTCTACTCCACAAGAAGTAAAGGAGCGATAAGAGACAAGCACAGCTGGAGGAGTTCCTAAATATTTAACGAGGTTATTGATGGTGCTAGCTAACCACCTGCTGAGAAGATAAGCAGACCTCGGTGGTGCTGCAGCATTACAGAACCTACTGCAGGCCACATCCAGCCATCTTTCAACAGGATGGGCAGTAAGAGCCGGTTGAAGCTAATATACATCTTGAACACAGGATTGTGTGTCTCGGACATTTGTGCAGTAGATTTCAGGAAGTACAGATCAAGTATGCCTGGCAGGGTCGCTGTAGAAGTGTCGCCCAACTCACATCTGTAGCAAATGGTTACATATAAAACTTTTAATCTGAGTTAGTGAAGGATTCAAGACATCCAAATAAAAGATAGAATGTGAATAAGCAATGCCCTCATATGATGTAACATGTCATACATCATATACAAATACTTCATACATCAAATACCACTTCATGAATAATAAATAATATTAAAGTTGTGAACTCAGTATGGCCAAAAAAAAACTAGAAAATCTATTTGATTTTGCTTGTATTGTGTTTTCTCAACTACAGCTTGTTCAAGCATGTGGAAAAATAAACCTATCTAAAGGAAGTGCATGAAGGGGACATGTTACATATGTCTGTGGTTATTAACAGATATTATAATTCCAGGTAAAATCTAAAAGTATGGGCTCCTTTTTACCAACTGACTGAACCAAATATGACTCCAATTGAACAGAACACAGTTAAATGTGATTATTTATAAAGTCACAATTTAAAAGAGTTGGATCTCTTGTATTTCCTAAGTTGCTCAGCGTTAGTACTGCTGTCATAGTGTGCACTGTATCCATTATCCAGCATTTAAACAGACTTGATTGATTAACACAGATTGATAGTAAATCACAGCTTCGTGCGGCATGTCAATCTATTACAAAAACACCGACAGAGATACCTGCCAGCACAATAGTGATGAACTTACCTGTACCACAAGTAGTGCAAGATCAAGCGGAATGGCCCTGTAAGAAATATATCACAGTTAGTAAAAATAATCATGATACTATCACATATTTTATTAATCCTCGTATAATCTTGTTGCATCCTAGATTATGATCACAACCTGCAGTTGAGGACACACAGGAGCTGGAAATCAGTCTCTTTAATCCTGAACCAGACAAAGAGCGTTTAACTATACACAACTATAGAACCTGCAGGACCGATGATGATGTTCATCAATGGTTCTGGCACCTTCTACTGTAGGATGTGTTGTTTTCTTTGCTATAAAGACACTCTGGTATCATAACATTTGTGTAAACATAATCTTGACCAAGCGAATTTGCGTATCTTATATATCATGCATTACATCATTCGATATGTTGCAGACTGAGCAGTCTTTGATAAGAGGCCTATAAGCACGCCTCCTTTCTTTATTACAGATTTGGGTAGACATGTAGATGTTGTTGATCCTCCAACACTCAGAAAACACGTCACAAACACAGTTACTCCTACAGAAATGCTGGTCTACTATCCAGCAACTGGCATCCCTGTTGGGTACCAATCCTACACTGTAGGTAAAGGTTGGAGTGGTACGTCAACTCACGGCCACGTGCTGAATATACACTGCTCAAAAAAATAAAGGGAACACTTAAACAACACAATGTAACTCCAAGTCAATCACACTTCTGTGAAATCAAACTGCCCACTTAGGAAGCAACACTGACAATCAATTTCACATGCTGTTGTGCAAATGGAATAGGTGGAAATTATAGGCAATTAGCAAGACAGACACCCCCAATAAAGGAGTGGTTCTGCAGGTGGTGACCACAGACCACTTCTCAGTTCCTATGCTTTCCGGCTGAAGTTTTGGTCACTTTTGAATGCTGGCGGTGCTTTCACTCTAGTGGTAGCATGAGACGGAGTCTACAACCCACACAAGTGGCTCAGGTAGTGCAGCTCATCCAGGATGGCACATCAATGCGAGCTGTGGCAAGAAGTTTAGTCTGTCAGCATAGTGTCCAGAGCATGGAGGAGCTACCAGGAGACAGACAAGTACATCAGGAGACGTGGAGGAGGCCGTAGGAGGGCAACAACCCAGCAGCAGGACCGCTACCTCCACCTTTGTGCAAGGAGGAACAGCAGGAGCACTGCCAGAGCCCTGCAAAATGACCTCCAGCAGGCCACAATTGTGCATGTGTCTGCTCAAACGGTCAGAAACAGACTCCATGAGGGTGGTAGGGCCCGACGTCCACAGGTGGGGGTTGTGCTTACAGCCCAACACCGGGCAGGACGTTTGGCATTTGCCAGAGAACACCAAGACTGGCAACTTCGCCACTGGCGCCCTGTGCTCTTCACAGATGAAAGCGGGTTCACACTGAGCACATGTGACAGACGTGACAGAGTCTGGAGACGCCGTGGAGAACGTTCTGCTGCCTGCAACATCCTCCAGCATGACCGGTTTGGCGGTGGGTCAGTAATGGTGTGGGGTGGCATTTCTTTGGAGGGCCGCACAGCCCTCCATGTGCTCGCCAGAGGCAGCCTGACTGCCATTAGGTACCGAGATGAGATCCTCAGACCCCTTGTGAGACCATATGCCGGTGCGGTTGGCCCTGGGTTCCTCCTAATGCAAGACAATGCTAGACCTCATGTGGCTGGAGTGTGTCAGCAGTTCCTGCAAGACGAAGGCATTGATGCTATGGACTGGCCCGCCCGTTCCCCAGACCTGAATCCAATTGAGCACATCTGGGACATCATGTCTCGCTCCATCCACCAACGCCACGTTGCACCACAGACTGTCCAGGAGTTGGCGGATGCTTTAGTCCAGGTCTGGGAGGAGATCCCTCAGGAGACCATCCGCCACCTCATCAGGAGCATGCCCAGGCGTTGTAGGGAGGTCATACAGGCACGTGGAGGCCACACACACTACTGAGCCTCATTTGGACATGTTTTAAGGACATTACATCAAAGTTGGATCAGCCTGTAGTGTGTTTTTCCACTTCAATTTTGAGTGTGACTCCAAATCCAGACCTCCATGGGTTAATAAATTTCATTTTCATTGATAATTTTTGTGTGATTTTGTTGTCAGCACATTCAACTATGTGAAGAACAAAGTATTTAATAAGACTATTTCATTCATTCAGATCTAGGATGTGTTGCTTAAGTGTTCCCTTTATTTTTTTGAGCAGTGTATATACTCTGTGATGAAGTAAAGTGCCCCCTTCCGGCATGCAGGGCATCATAACTAACGTTAGGCAACAAAAAAAATAACCGAACTTACCCGTCACTGCTTTTGCAATAAGTGAGGTGTTGTGTTCCTTGCTGCCTCGCAGCTGCAGAGGTTAGAAAGTGACATGTGAGCTTATCGTCGTGGTCATCATGAAGTATCCGTTAACTTTAATGAATGCATGACGGACTCGTACTTTTGGGATTTCGCTAGCTTAATAATAGAGCAAAATATGAATGTTGCCTTGCAGACGAAACTTTACGTTAACTTCTCACAGCACAATAAATCACGATGAAAAATGCTACTACACTGTATGTCAATGTGAGATGAGAATATGAGGACATAGCTAGAGATGTAACGTTAGCAGTGTGTGTATGCTACGTGGCTTTTGAGCGGCTGACCGCTTGCAGCTGATTAGCGACAGAGTTGGGCATTTTTACAAATAAACGTTCAACAAAAGACCTACACACTCAACTGAAAACGTGCAGAAATGGAAGTCTGACTGACCTGAGTGTCCGTCTCTGGCGGCCATTCAGTAATGACAAGTAAGTCGTATAAAATGTTTTCATCTTCGCCTTCAATCAGACTTTCTTCAGCCATGTTTACTTGAACAGGCTGTCAAAACAATCTACGGCGAGTAGCACTGGACAAAATACGTCAAGGAAACCGCGTTTGGAAAATGTACCTTACCCACTCAAGAGAAGCTGTTTCATAGCTTGACTTTGCCTACTATTGTATGATAGTAACATAAATATATATTTCCCAAAAAGCAATGCGTATAGTAAAATATTTAACCGATTTTACGAACTAGTTCACTAACCGGAACCAATGGCATAAGGCTGCTCGGCTGTCAGGCTAGTCCACTAAAGGAGTTGCACCGAGCCGACAATTCTGAATACGTTACATCCGGTGAAATTGCACTCGCAGCAGCAGTAATGGCAGCGTTTTCTGGTAAGAATATATCAACTTCATGATGTCAACGGCTCATTCGTATTTCACTTCAACTCCAAACAGCTTTTAACAGCTACGTGGACGTACTAACTTATTAAAACATGTCTTCTGTCCAACAGAAATGGGCGTTATGCCTGAAATCGCGCAGGCTGTGGAGGAGCTGGACTGGCTGTAAGTCTCTCTACAAACCTCAGACAAAGCCATGTCCATATTGTCATCTATGTCCATATTGCTGTTGCCTGTTACAGTTGACATCCGAACTGATGTATTCCAACCTTTGGATTTCAGGCTACCTACTGACATCCAGGCAGAGTCTATTCCCCTGATTCTTGGTGGAGGAGATGTACTCATGGTAGGTTTACCTTTTTATTTCTGGTTGTCTCAGACAGAAAGTTTGTGCACAGTAAGTTTTTAATCTATTTTTATTTATTTTTTTAGGCAGCAGAGACTGGTAGCGGTAAAACAGGGGTAAGTACATGACAGCCACTCAGTTTGAAATGCTGCTGTACCTCTGCAGTTTGCATCAACAGCATCAGGCCATATTAACAGAATAAGTGTAATCCTTGTCGTCCTCAGGCCTTCAGTATCCCAGTGATCCAGGTCGTGTATGAGACCCTGAAGGATCAGCAGGAGGGCAAGAAGGGCAGAGCCTCCATCAAGACTGGAGGAGCTAGTGAGACCACTTTAATATCTGTGTGTTTGATAGTCCGGCTAAAACCTGTTCATAACATTGTACAGAGCTCTGGTCGAATAATACAAACTATTATAAAAGCAGTGGTTTGTGCGCTGCAGATATTAACCTACTCTGTTTATTTTTTTCAGTTTTCAACAATTGGCAGATGAATCCTTATGACCGCAGTGCCGCCTTTGGTAAGAGGACAAAGATAAGCATGTAATGCCACATTCCAGCTTTGTTCTCTGTCACCTCTCCTCATTATCACTTTTTGTTTTTTTTGTTGCCTCTACAGCGATTGGTCCAGATGGTATGTGCTGCCAGAGCAGGGAGTTTAAAGAGTGGCACGGCTGTCGCTCTACTAAAGGGGTCACCAAAGGTGTGTAATGCGCACAAGTACCTCAACACAAGACAAATAAGGATTTCAAGACAACATACGTACATTTCACAGGGAGCGGAATATTTCTTTGATAGACTTGCAAAGGAAGGATCAATTTATGTCTTTGCAATTGTTTATTTGTCTTTCTGTGTCCAGGGAAGTACTACTATGAGGTGACCTGCCATGACCAGGGTTTGTGTCGCATTGGCTGGTCCACCAGTCTGGCCGCCCTGGACTTGGGTACACTCCTCTCCACTTCACAATCTCCATGCTGTAGATTAGAACATACAACGGCTAACACAAACGGTCTAAAGAAGAGAAAAATAACCCAGTTCTCACAAACTCTTTTCTTTTCTTTCCAGGAACTGATAAGTACGGTTTTGGTTTTGGTGGGACTGGGAAGAAATCCAACAACAAGCAGTTTGACAGCTATGGAGAGGTGACACTTAATCATGGGATATTTATATATATGTAAACAAATGTGAGGATCATTTTCAAACATGTTTTCTCTTTGTTATCTCTTCTCTTTGCAGGAGTTTACCATGCATGACACTATTGGATGCTACTTGGACCTAGACAAGGGCCAGATTTCCTTCTCTAAAAATGGTGCTGTCTCACTCTCACTGACATGATTATGTAAAACATCTGGGCTCGGTGTTAAATGGCAACATTACTCATGTTTCTTTCTCTCTGTTTTCTTCTTTCAGGCAATGACCTGGGTGTGGCTTTTGAGATCCCTCAAAATGTGCAGACTCAGCCCTTCTTTGCCTCCTGTGTGCTCAAGGTAAAATAATGGTACAAAACAAACAAACGGGTGTCAGATTTGCACCGTACAAATGGCTCTTTTCCTGATCTGTTTGCCAGAATGCAGAGCTGAAGTTCAACTTTGGAGGAGAAGACTTTAAAAATGCCCCTCGGAGTGGCTTCGTTGCCTTAGACCAGGCCTCAGAGGGCCACACAGTCAAATCTACTCAAGCAGGTGTGTGGATGCGACCTCATTTCAGGTGCAACAAGAAAATATACCAAATGTGACTGTGAGATATATATCTATCATACACTTACATAGAACCAGAGATATGTTAGAGATTTTATGTTAGACCAGGTAATGCTTTAGTTCTTTTCACAATATTTTCCAAGCTACTAAGGTTACATTGTTACCGTTGCTGACACAGCTATGCATCAATCACCACTACGACGGTCTCACTGGTGTATTCCGATGTGTAATAACCGTCTTCGCTCTGTGTTGGTGCAGGCAGTGCCAAAGTGAGTCAGGCGAAAGCATCCTCCAACGCACCCAAATCACTGATCCTGGAACCGTCGAAAGAATTGGCCGAACAAACCCTCAACAATGTCAAGCAGTGTGGGAAATACGTGGACAAC